TGCACGGGACAGGGAGCAACGGTGGAGTCACCCTTGCACTGCCAAGTGTAAAGTGCAAGTCAGGAAACGAACACTATCACCCACCTTCACGCACCACTGTACTGAACTCAGTTGGCGTTAAGAACTTGACACATTTTGTGGGAATTACGGGAACTGGGGCAGCCTGAGATTTGAGGACAGCCATATTCTATATGCCTGGCTTTACGCTCCCAGCTCACTTACTCATCGGCATGCAGTAGGACCGGCAGCAACAACTCCAAAGCCCCGGCTCAGCCTGAGCTCCTTAGAGGACACGTGGCACTGTTTTGCAGTCAGCTGACACCCAGAAAAATTAGAGCTTAAGTTTGACTCAGCATCAGGAAAGATACATTATTAACGTTGCCGAGCCAGCTCGTGGAACGATGCACATCCTACGCCTTCGGGGGGTGTGGTGGAGGCGGGGTACACTAATGCCGGCCACGCCAGTGGTGGCGCCTTGGGACAGACTAGGTGCCCCGCCGGCCTCTCCGCGGCCCTGCAGGCCTCGCGGGCGGGGCTAACCCAGTCAGGCGAAAGGGAGGGCCGCAGGTGACGCACTTCCACCTCGCGCCTTCCGGTTTCCCCGGGACCCCGTCCCTCCTCACAACAACAATCTCGGGAGCTCGCGCGGCGCCGCGGCTCAGGCCCCGCCCTCCTCCTGCCTGCCACCTGCCGCCCGGCCGCGCCTGCGGCGACTGCTTAGCCGCGTTCTGGAGGGCCGGCGGCGCTCGCGGCTCGTCACCCACCGCCACCGCGCCGCCCCGCGAGACCAAGAGGGCGAGCGCCGCGGAGCAGGAAGGGAGCGGCCCGCGGAGGCGCGGCGCTGGGCCGGCCTTCCTTCCCTCAGGCTCGCTCCGCTCTGAGCCGCAGCCTTGCTTTCCTCAGGCTCGTTCTTGGCTCTCGGCCGCGGCCTTCTTTCCTTCAAGCTAGCTCTTCGGTCGCGGCCTTGTCTGTCTCAAGCTTGCTCTCCGGCCGCCGTCTTTTCTTCAAGCTCGCTCTGCGGCCGTTCCCACCCCCTTCCAGGCTCGCTCCCCGCCACCGCCTTCCTCCTCCCAAGCTCGCTCTCCGGCCGCCGCCCCTCAGCCGCCCAGGCTGCGCGGGTGCTCGCGTGGGGCCTTGTTGCGTTTCAGCTCGGGGGTCGCCGCAGGGGCGGGGCGCTGAGCGGTCCGCCGCGGCCTCCCCTTCGCGTCCTCCCCAGGTCGTCTGCCCGCCTTCCTCCGCAGTCCGGAGCCTGGCGGAGCCCAGACCTGGCGGGGACAGCTGCGCACCCGGCCCGGCACCCAGAGCTTGCCGTCACCACTGCCACTGTCCATCGTTGGTACCGGCAATGGCCTTCGTATCGCCCGATGTGCTTGTGACTGATTTGGACCCGGAATATTGAGAACTCACTTCGGTCCCCATCCCGGCCGTGTCTGCCCACTGGGTTTAGCTGCAGCGCCGCTAGACTGTCCGACTTCGAGAGCACCATGGACCAAAGTGGGATGGAGATTCCTGTAACTCTCATCATTAAAGCACCGAATCAGAAATACAGTGACCAGACTATTAGCTGCTTCTTGAACTGGACCGTGGGGAAACTAAAAACGCATCTATCTAACGTGTACCCTAGCAAACCAGTAAGTGTACAACTGGACGCATCTCTTCTGACCTGCTGCCCCGTGAACCTGGTACCTCCCTTCTCCCAGCTTGCCCCTTCCTCGGCAATCAAATAGGTCTTCATTCGAAATACTTTTGGTTCTGAGGTTACGGGTGTCTCCTGAGTGATCCATCATTATCTTCCTGATGAGGTTCAGTTAATTAGTGAGTATACAGAAATACCAAGAGACAAGAATTTGCAGTTACGGCAAAGGGACCATCTTCCATGGAACTTAAAGTCATCAAATGTGAATGTCAGATGCTATTTTTGTTTTTCAGATAAAGAATCACTGTCCATATTAGAACTTTTGTTGCTTTCTAGGCTCAGAAATTTGTTCGTGGTGAAGAGAATTTTTTTTTCCTCTTGGAATAAGTATGTGACTTAGCGAAAATTATACTTTAACCATCACTTTATTACACTGGTTCTAAGTTGCAAATTTTCTTTGTTTCCCACCTCCCACCTCACACGTCTCCTGAAGAGGATACAGACACTGAGACAAGTGCAGTCCTTCCACATACACCAGTCATTTGATGCCTGTTTTGTTTTTATATCATCTGTCTCAAATCAATGTGGCTTTGTTTCCAGTTCTTAACTATATCTTGGTATTGGAAAGATGAACAGAATGGAGCCATTTGTCCCTTAATTCAGATTTGAAGGGATGTAGTTAGTAAGTTTTGGAATAGTTTGGAAGAGTATGTCATATAGAGGATATTAAAGTGAGACCTTCAAATTCCGTATTGTATGACATCTTCATTTTAAAATATCTAGTATTCAGCTACTAAATTTAAGATAATAAAGAGGCTTGTATTTTAGGGTGGGAAATATTTTGCCATATTTACCACCAGCTGGTTGGTGGTGCACCAACTGCTTTTTAGGCCTGTTTTGTGCTCTGAAGTATGGAAGATGCTTGATCAGTAACTGTTAAGTAAGATGTTTATGAGTTAGAACCTTGTCTGTTGGAGTATTAAGATTTAGACTTCTGGAATAACCACCGGATTGATTTATTGCAGAAGCTGGAGGGTTTTGTTTGTTTGTTTGTTTTGTTTTGTTTTGTTTTTTTAAAAACTCATTTGGCATTAGCTGAATTTGTGACAAATATTTTTAGTATGTGGGGGAACACTAAGTTACTTAATTAGTTGGACAAAAGTACTTACAAAGTTAGAGCTTTTGCTTATTCAAAGCCTAAATTTGAAAGTTAAGATTTACACAATGAAGATAACAATTCACAAAGAAATTGAGATTCATGAGAATTTTCTATTATACATTTTTGATTTCTCACATTTTAAAAATAGAAAGCACCTTGAAAGAATAGTTGTACTTGAAAGGCTTAGATTTCCACAGTACTGTGGAAACACAGCCCAAAATTTTAAAGTATATTTTTAGTCTATATATACCTTTATAGTATATACATCATATATACCATATATGTGATATATACCATACAGTGTATATAGACCATAAAATACTAAAGTACATTTTAAGCCTATATACACATGTATGGTATGTACTTGGGTGAGATCTATGTGTTATACTATTACAGAGTTAAGACTCTTGGTCTTCAGTGTGTGGATCAGGAATTTGCATTAAGCCTAATGTGTAATCTTAGCACTTGTACTGGCGGGTTTTATGTGTCAACTTCACACAAGCTGGAGTTGTCACAGAGAAAGGAGTATCAGTTGAGAAAATACCTCCATGAGATCCAGCTGTAAGATATTTTCTCCATTAGTGATTAAGGAGGGAGGGCCCATTGTGGGTGGTGCCATCCCTGGGCTGGTAGTCTTGTGTTCTATAAGAAAGCAAGCCAATAAGTAACAACCCTCTATGGCCTCTGCATCAGCTCTTGCTTCCTGACCTGCTTGAGTTCCATTTCTGACTTGCTTTGGTGATGAACAGCAATGTGGAAGTGTAAGCTGAATAAACCCTTTCCTCCCCAACTTGCTTCTTCGTCTTGATGTTTGTGCAGGAGTACAAACCCTGACTAAGACAGCACTTGAGCTAGAAGCTGAGGATCAGCATTTCAGAGTCATTTTAGCTACGTAATAGTTTGAAGCTAACATGATCCTGTCCTCCAAACCTAAACAAATTTAGTAGTATTCTAAAACTTTTCTCTTCAAAACAAAAACAATATGTAAGATAGAAATGTGAAGACTTTTTGTCGTATCTGCCCTTCTTGAGGCTGGAGGCTTTCCCTTGCGCAGGTGAAGTACTGTTGCTGCTGCTTGGACACTCCTGCCTGAGATCACTTGCTAGACTGTCTTCTTTGACTTGTCTGCCTCATAGACACCCTGGAGATTCTTTTGGAGGCTGCACCACATACTATCATTAATGACTTAACCTTGTAACATTTCTCCAGAAAGTTTTCTGAGGGATTGTAATATCCTGTCAAGTTCATTTCTAGGTTGAAAACTTTGTGTAATTATTAGACTTGACAGGTTTCTGTTCTGACTTATCACTTGAGATTACATTGCAATACCACAGTTGTTGAGTAACTCTAGTAGTGGTACCATGTAGTTATAGAAGACATCAGCTCTAGAAATTTGAGTCATAGACGTTGTCTTTGTAAGGTTATTTAGAATCCAAACATTTTGCAGATAAGATTATAAAAGGAATTTAGATTCATATGACTGACCACAATGACTCACACTGGCTTTTTCAATTTTTTAAGTATTGTATCCTACATGTGTGTGCATGTGTGCATGCTTCACCTTTCTTCTGAGTCAAGGTCTGGGTTGTACCCCATGATCTCAAATTCCTGGGCTCAAGTGATTCTCCCATCTCAGTTTCCCAAATTATGGGACTAGAGCTGTACATGACCCTACCCTGCTGGTATTGCTCTTCCTCTTCCTCTTCCTCTTCCTCATCCTCCTTCCTCTTCTTCTTTCTCCTCCTTTCCCCTATCCATCCCACCAACAACTACCGTTCTTTTAGAGTTAATGTTGCACTAATGACCCTATACTTTATATTATTGTAATGATTTAGCAATCCAGCTATAAGTAAAACGACTAGATATTTAGTGGGCATGGAGAGGAAGATATTTTCTAGTTAAGAATTTAGACATTTGTCTTATATATGTGAGAAGTGTTTATAAATCATTGAAAACTTCCTATGTGAAACTGAGCTCTTGAAACTCAGTTAACTTCCAAAGATATTGGTAATTGGTTGAGGAATTGGGAAGTACCAGTTCATGTTCATAGTGTTTTAGATAATTATAAAGTATATTTTAATAGGACATTTGCTATTACTGATAGATTTAGTTTTTTAGTCCTAAAATTTGCCTGAAGTGTGAAATAATCATTCTTTTTTGTTTGTTTGTTTGTTTGCTTTTTTGTTTTTCGAGACAGGGTTTCTCTGTATAGCTCTGGCTGTCCTGGAACTCACTCTGTAGACCAGGCTGGCCTCGAACTCAGAAATCCACTTCTCTCTGCCTCCCAAGTGCTGTGATTAAAGGCACGTGCCACCACTACCCTATGAATTAATCATTCTTAAATTTTAATAATTGCTACAGGATGTTGAAAATATCTGTCAAAAGGTCACTGTTTCTTGAGTGTTGGATTCTAGTCTGAACTTGGACTTAGTTATCAGATATGTAAGTACCAGAATGGTTAAACTTTGCATTGTTCAGTAGAATGTACTATCCAATAAAAATTAAAAATACATAAAATTCACCTAAGTCCAGTTAGGCACTTTCCATCATTCTTTACTTACTGTTTATTCTTATTTGCAAACAGAGATGGAGTTGATCTACCCTGAATTTGATGTTGAAGGCAAACCTTTCCAGTGCTTAGTGT